TGCCAACGGAGGAGTTGACGACGAAACGAATGACGTGGAGGTTTGGCCAGGTGCTGTTGGAAGTACTGTGTACGACATTGACCATTACCGCTTGAGTATTCTCCCCAGTGACCTTTTTCGAATTTGTTCAGCCGATTGGGAATTGGGTTGCCGTGAACGAAAACTCGCGGACAAGTCCAGTGAGAAGAAGTATCTCAGACACTACGTTCTACTGCTTTGTAAACCATGCTTTGTGTATCTGCCAAAGCAATTTGCACCGGGGTTCTTGGCTGCTTTCAACAAACAAAAGAGTTTGCGCTACACATCCCCCAAGCATGTACCGGGAAAAGCACGACCTACCCATATCATAGATTGCTCGACAAGCCGGTACATCAGCTCCCACGATTGCGTTGGAATTTTGAAAGCATTGGACTCGAGAATGAAACTCAAACTTCTCGGGTATGGGACAAAGGCTCACATTGACAGCTATTCTTGGATATGGGAAATAGCAAGCCGAAGCACCACCCTGGAGGATCGTCCAGTCATCGACATTGGTGTGGAGTTCGACGTACCACATCTTGCTCTGTTTGCGGTTCGAAAGTGTGTGTTTCAAAAGCATGGTTATGGCCCGTACATGTCGTACGACTCGATGCTGTGGATGAACTTTATGGACGCCTGTCGCGAGTTACAGGAATGTGTACAGCCGCAGTACGTTGTGGGGGGTGGGCTTTCTATTTCCAAGCCGTCGATACTATCATCGAGAGCCTACAAAATCAAGTTGTACCCAAAGATCGTACACTTCTTGAAGAACATCAACGAGCGACGACTTGGAGACATGCCTCATCCTTCAACGAACAAAAATTGTGGCAAGCGTTATGAGCACCTTCAAAACGTGTATGAGAACTACTTCAAAGCCGGTGTCGCGGACCAATTTGCTGGCTCCTTCACTGGCTTTCGACTAGAAATCACGGTCAGTGGTTTCAGTTTGAACGAGTGCTTGGACATTTTTGACGCCGAGTTCTATGCGTTATTCCAACACGTGAAGGTGTTGAAATATCCGCTGCCAAAGTACTTGGCCAACATTGCAAAGTTCGTTGGCTTTATGACATCGGTTGGACCTGCACGAGGGCGCGACGAGGTATTATGCGATGACAAGTACAAGGTTCCACTTGCATTTGTTGGTCAAGAACTGGGCTTGACAAGCTACGTTTGCCACGTCTTTCTGTCGCGCCGTGCATTCTTTGACGACAACATACGGAGCTGGAACTGGTGTTCAAGCAATTACATTGCATTAAATGAGCCAGATTTGCCACCAGTGGACGCACCCGTCGATGTCGATGACGCACAGGGCGACCAGCATCTGGACGATTTCCATGCGCGCTACGACGCCGAAACTCGCGAGATCATGCTCGACGTCTTCCTCAATGTTTACGCAAAATCTGTCGGACTGGGGGATGCCAAGTTGTTCAAGTCACGTGATAAACGAAGTGGTCGATTCAGTGAAACCAACAGGACGATGTTTGGATTGGCAGAACGCATTGCTACACTGCATAAGGCCAGCTGGCGAACGCACTTTGTCTGCAAAGTGAAAAATCTGTACAGTGGTCTGAGCGAGGTCAACAAGCTGGAAGCGTTCCGTCGACTGGTTGCCGATCAGCATACCCGTGTCGGTACGGGTTCAGTTGTCGTGCCTCAAGACCACTCCATTAGGGATACTAATGACGGTCTGGATGACGTTCCAACCGACCTACCTATTCCTTTGTTCGCTTCAGACGCCCAAATGCTTCGGGCCGTCTCCTTGGTGTGGAATCGTCAAGCTCTCCATCGTGGACGGGGTGCTCCAAACACGGTGGTAGTACCGAGTAGATCCACAGGTGTTCAATCTGAGGGAGCGGGGCACATCACGGGGTTTGGACCAATTACCCCCCATGGAATTTCTCAGGGTGCTGTTGCTGCGACTACTGCACCTCACGGAAACGGCTTTCGTGAAATATCTACGTCTGATCGCATAAGTATACTGTCGGAATATCGAAGTCATGCATCCGCAAGCCGGGCCAACCCAGTGGAACGCACAGAAAGGATTGGGCATGGTCTCCCGAAAGGAAGGGACTTGTATTGGCTGAGCCAGGCCCAAGCACATTCACGAGTAAAACGCACTCAAACCCAAATGGACGAACACTTCACTCAAAACGCCGCTGCGATTGAATCCAACCGGTCAAAGAGGCCTAAGACATCTATGTTGCAATTTGTCGATAACGCCTGGGATTCAGACCACAGCGATGATGCTACTACTGGCGTTTCTGTACGAGTGGCAGTAGATGACGACGAGGGGATAAGCGATCTGACTGTTCGTGTAACCATCAGCGGCAACGAGGTCAACAGTGATACCGGTGATCACGTGGTCGAGCACAACGAGGATGAGGGACCAGCTGTACGAGTTCCAACACTCGAGGAGTCTCTGTCCCTCGAAGGCCAAACCATCCTTCGTCGGGTTCGAATTAAGTTGTATCCAAACTTCGGGTTCAGAGCTCATCGGCTGAGAGGGGCGCCCTTCCGTACCAGGCCCACCAAGCTTGCACTAGTACAGGAAATCGAACGCAGCAAAATCGATTGGGCTAAGCACCTGATCCTCAACCTTGGCCAGCTTCCTTAGATTTGTAACTCCAAATAAATCCTCTTCAGTAAATGTATTTTGGGTTGTTTAGGTTGGAGGCGTTCAATGCATATCTATATGTTATCTATTGTGGTGGGTTATGACTGTGTTGAGGTGACTTTGACTTGTAGCAGCACGTTGCATGTGCCTCGGCGATCAGTCATTGGGCAAAGCTGGCTTCGAGTCTTGAAGAAATTGGGGAGAGCATGTCGTGAGAACTCAATTGTAGTTGTATTATTCGTATTCATAAGAACTCAGTCGCTCGGACGAGGTCCTCCAAGTGCATAACTTTGAAAGCTTCAAGTTTCACGTCATGCGCTTATGTATTGCATCGAACGGGATTGTACGGGATTGTACGGGACCGTACACTGAACACAGTGTACGTACTGATGATTGTATTGTAAATATGTTGGAGCGTGTAGTCAAAACAGTACGTTGCAACAACCGGCCACAACCACACAATTGACACCCATTGTTTCATAATGAAATCACTTTTCAATTTGCTTTGAACTACGCTGACCATGTCAGGAAAACGCGGCACGACCAGCCGCTCCTCGCGCCGACTCATCGATCCAGGTATTTGTTTATAATGCGCCAACGCAGGGACTAACGTTTGTTTCCTAGTAGTATCGTCTGCGACGAAAACGGCTTTGCGTGGCAATGACGACGACGAACCTCGTCAAAGAGCCGTCAAGGGAAAGCGCCCGCCTGCGAAATCAAGTGCGGTCGCGGAACGCATGACCAAAGAAGGACCTCCTCCGAGTGTGGCGCCAACTGCTACCTCGAGTGGATCAGGCAAGGAAGGTGCCGTTGTGGATCGCTCGACCAAGAAAGGGCCTACTGGAGATGGGAAGATCGGTGCTCGTGGCGCTGTGATCGATGCACTCCGACCTCATCCGAGCAAGAAATGTGGTGCACCAAGTGAGGATTCAAGTGGCGTGGCGGACGACCTTGCACTTGGAGGAGCTCCTCTGAGTGTAAAAACAACTCGCTCGGTGGGCAAGGAAGGCAGTAATGCGACATCAAGTGGCGTGGTGGGCGATGTTGCACTTGGAGGAGCTCCTCTGAGTGTCGCAACGACAGGTGCGGCGGGCAAGGAAGGTGGCGATGCGGAATCAAGTGGCGTGGTGGACGATGGTTCACTTGGAGGAGCTCCTCTGAGTGTTGAAGCAATTGCAGTGGCGGGCAAGAAAGGTGGCGACCCAAAATCAAGTGACGTGGTGGGCGATGGTTCACTTGCACCTCTGAGTGTCGAAACAAGTGGCCCGGCGGGCAAGGAAGGTGGCGATGCGAAATCAAGCGGCGTGGTGGGCGATGTTGAACTTGGAGGAGCTCCTCCGAGTGTTGCAAAGACAGGCGCGGCGGGCAAGGAAGGTGTCGATGCAAAATCAAGTGACGTGGTGGACGACATCGAACATGAAGAAGCTCCTCTGAGTGTTGAAACAGCGCCGGGCAAGGAAGGTGGCGACCCAAAATCAAGTGACGTGGTGGGCGATGGTTCACTTGGAGAAGCACCTCTGAGTGTTGCAACGACAGGCGCGGCGGGCAAGGAAGGTGGCGATGCGAAATCAAGTGACGTGGTGAACGACATTGCACTTGGAGGAGCACCTCTGAGTATCGAAACAAGTGGCTCGGTGGGCAAGGAAGGTGGCGAT